TCAGGTGACCTTGACATCCACCCTAATGCATGGGAGCAACATCAAATCACATGTTTGAACGTTTGAAAGCACGAAAAGCTTGCAAAAGCGCGGCTAATGCGAGTCGACATACGCCGAATCGTGATTCCGGCCAAACATGGTCTCGGAAAGTAGGTCACAGGTCAAAGGTCATTTAGGTCAGGGTCATGAAATTTTCAGGGTAGGTGTAAAATTGATAAATGCGAGGGTACTGAAAGTTTCGTTGCAATCGGCAGCTTTTTACGCGAGTTATTCGCGAAAAAACCTTAGGGGGGTTGCATCAATCCCCCCCCCTGTGTCGGCGAGGGTCGGCGAGGGTTAAAATTGGGTATCACCGGCTTCCTTTCATCACGGGCAACACGGTCGTTTTTTCCACGAAGCTCTAGCTCGAGCAGGGTCGAAACGGCAAGGGGGAAGGTCCAACGGACCCCCCCCCCCCATATACGTTCGCAGCTGGAAAATACCAATACGGGCGAGGGTTGATGGATTATAAGAGACAATTTTCCAGGTTGCCCCCCCAGTCAAATTCCCTTAAAATAGGCTCTGGTGACAACCTTTAAAAATGACGTCCTCCCTTTCAATGGTTCGTGCGAAGACACAAAGCCAGAATCAGCCAAGCAATATCGGAATCCATTGCGCAGTGTGTCGGATGTGCCCCCAGTTTTCAATCCACATAGCATAGTACACTGCTAAATGCAGGTACCTACGCTCACCTACACATTAGGTATTCGAAGGACTTAATAGCTCATACACATGGAAGAAACACATGAAATGTGATTTATAGCTGCAGCAGAAGTTTGGCATCCGATGCCTCTTCGCCAAGTTAAGACCATGCCAATCTCGGCCAGTCTGCCGCTGCGCCGGCACTGGCCGTGGTGTGACGTCATCCGGCCGGCTCGGCGCTGGGTAGTTCCACACTTAGGTAACTCGCAGCCCGGACAGAGACCTGCCGAGCCTGGCGGCCGCCCGCCTCCAGAGGTACGCGCTGCAGCTGGCGGCGTACAGCTACGCAGTGGAGCTGCGCCGGTCCGAGCACATGCACATGGCCGACAGTCTGTCGCGCCTGGCCATGCCGTGCTCGGGTGTCGAGCGAGAGAAGATCGACAGAGAAGGAGCCGACGTCAGCTTCCTGTGCTACATGGACGGCGCGGCGCCGGTGCTGACGGCAGAGGCGCTTGCGTCAGCCACGCGGCGCGATCCAGTGCTGGCCAGGGTGCTAACGTTCGTCCGGTGCGGTTGGCCGGCTGAGGTCGAGCCGGAGCTGGTGCCTTTCAAGCGGCGCCAGGACGAGCTGTCGACGGATGGCGAGTGTCTCGTGTGGGGCGGCCGTGCTGTCATCCCACAGCAGCTCCGGGCGCGGGTGCTGCGTGAGCTGCATGAGGGGCACCTTGGCAGCTCAAAAATGAAAAACTTGGCTCGGCGATATGTGTGGTGGCCGGGGCTGGATGCAGAGCTCGAGGGCGCGGCACGCGATTGCGCAGAGTGCATGGACAAGCGAGGAGCGCCGCCACACAGTGATCGGCACCCGTGGGAGCCGGCCGGAGGCCCGTGGGAGCGTATCCACATAGACTATGCGGGCCCCTTCCAGGGCTTGAACTTTCTGGTGGTGTGCGACAGCTATACCAAGTGGTTGGAGGTGATCCCGATGCAAGAGACGGGCACAGAGAGCACTGTGAGAGAGCTGCGGGCGATGTTTGCGCGTTTCGGCATCCCCCGCCAACTCGTGTCGGATAATGGTGCTCAGTTCACCTCTGCTCCGTTCGCTGCATTCCTGAGCAACAATGGAGTGCGGCGCGTCAGGGTGGCACCATATCACCCGAGCAGCAACGGAGCGGCGGAGCGGGCGGTGCAAACGGCCAAGAACGGACTGAAGGCGGCCCTGCGGGATGGTGGGTCTCTTTCACAGCGGCTGCAGAAGTTTCTGCTGGCCTACCGGGCGGCACCGCACTCGGGCACGGGACGATCGCCAGCCGAAATGATGTTCGGCCGGAACGTGCGGACGCGGCTGGATACGCTGCGGCCCGATCCGATGGACAGGTTTCGGGATCAGCAGCAACGGCAACGGGAGGCGGCAGGCGGCCGGCACAGGGAGCTGAACATCGGAGACACGGTGTGGGCTAGATGTTACAGCGGCCCGCAGAAGTGGAGACTGGGGACGGTGGCCGCACGGACCGGACCGGTGTCGTATGAGATAGCTGTTGCCGATGCTCTCTGGTCGCGGCACGTCGATCAACTCATCAGCGCGGAGCCAGTGCGGACCGGCCAGCGGGCGGCCGCCGCCGGGACGGTCGTGCCAGCGGCGCTCGGCGAGCCCGGTGCTGGCGCCAGCGGCGGCGCGAGGACGGCCGTGCCGGCGCCGCCCGGCGCTGCCGGCAGGATCTCCAGTGAAGGCATCAGGTCGGCTGTACCGGGGGCGATCGGCGGGGCCGGTGCCGGCGCCAGCGGAGGCGACGGTGGAGACAGCCGAGTGGTGACACCCCCAGCGAGCGGATTCACAGAGTGTAGCGGCGACGCAGCGGATCTGTATCGGGCTGGTGGCCCTCGTGCGAGCGGTGGAGAGACGGTGAGCGAGGCCGAAGGAACAGGTCGCGCGCGCGGTGGCGCTACTGACGGACCGCCGGCAGCGGTGAGCGGTGCTGGTGGGACCGGCGGCGCGCGCGGTAGCAAGCCTAACGCTTCGCCGGGAGTGGTGAGCGGCGCCGGTGGGACAGGACATGGCGCGCGCGGCGGCGATTGTAAAGGACCGCCGGCAGAGGTGCGGCGGCGGTTGTCCGTGCGTCACTCTCAGCCACCGAGGAGGTGGATAACTGAGATGTGATCGGGTGGAAAATACGTGATTTTACAGAGATGTGATCGGGCGGAAGGATCGAGCGGAAGAATATGTGATTCCGTGTGTCAATAGGTGCCACCGATAAGGTGGATAACAGATGTGATTGGCCAGGGAAAGTGTGGGTCAATTTGTACCGCCGAGAAGGGTGATGACTGATTAGTTATTTTCGTTTGGAAGTACAGACTGATAAGTAGTGTAAGGGCAGACGTGGGCGACTCTAAAGTCAGTGAATTTGTAGTTATGTTCGTATCGCACGGATGTGAGCGATGTCAGTGATCGCACTAAAATAGGCGGCAGTGTTGACGCTGTAAGTGACCGGACTGGATTTGACTAGTTTGTGGTGGCTCGCAGGTTGAGTAAGTTATGTTTGATAGTTCGATGTTCGAACTCAAATCCAGGGGGGCAGGGTGTTGTATCGTGAGCCTGGCTACGCGTAGTTCAGTTAGCGACCGCCAGGTGGAAACCGGTCGCCGGTTGTGCGGCAGTCGGCCGCCGGCCCGCGCAGGGCGTGGATGTGTTCTGGTTGGCTGTGCGCCAAGTGGGCGCGCAATCGCAGGCTGGGAATAAAGAACTCACATCATATCAGAGGGATTCTGAGAAAGCCTATCTTTTTAGAGTTTGTAGCTCCAGTGATGGAGCCATCGTGACTGTTGCATCCCAGGGTTCAAAGATTAGCCCAGGCCAAAGGCACAGCACACTATTGATTAGATACCAATTTTCACGTACCTGCTCGCCTCACCATCTCACCCCTCCGTACAGTCGTTCAAAAGCAGCTGCAACTTTTAACCGTCGCCCGTCTGTTGGCGTTTCAACAGCCGCTAACGTAAGGGGGAGGAGTCGATCGGACCCCCGCGGCCTCTCGGGCTCTGATATGGAGCTGTGCATAAAAAAGACGAGCGTGCTACCCGTGACCATAGGAAGCCGCTGGCCCATTTTTAAGGTCCTTGGTCATTCCGTCTCATTCAAGAGGGCAATGATAAGTGTCGAGAAAATCGGGACCCGCTATAACTTCTTGAAGTGAGATTTTATGGCTCAAGATGATCTCCAGAAAAAGCTCATAAGCCAACGGTCATTATGGGTCCAGAGGCCAGTTTTACCAACAGAAAAATAGCCGCCTGCCGGAATTTTTGCCTAAAGATCGTTTCACATATGGAGCGTAAACGGTAAAGCCCTATCCGCTTACGAGCCCATCGCGTTTACGCTCCGTATGTGAAGCGGTCTTGAGGCAAAAATTCCGGCAGGCGGTTATTTTTCTGTTGGTAAAACTGGTCTCAGGTCATGATATTTTCCGGGCTAGTGAAAAAAAAAATGATGGGCTCGAGGGTACAATTTGGTCGTGATCCAATGCCTTTTACGTGAGCTTTTAACGAAAAACCACCCGCCGCCCCTATACGTACAAGGGTTAAATGGGATATAGCATAGGCGGCGGAACGGGGAGGGCACCGGGGCACCGTGCACCCTTTGATTTTTGCATTTTAACATTAGCCCTATGGGCGTTGCATGGAAAGAATGGGACCAAAAGTCGGCAGTGCTCCCCCCCCCCCTCCCCCTTAATTGAAGGTGTTCCGCCGCTACTGGGATATAGGCATTAAATGTTTTGTGGAGGAAGTGTCATGTTTTAAATTTGATGCATTGGAAATGCACAAATACCCAAAGAGTTCCAGGACGGTATGGAATTTCAGTAAATATAGTTGTGTCAGCAATGGGGTCTGGTAGGTGGGGGTAATGGCCCTGCCTGGCGCCCAAAAAGGGGGCACGACCCCGAATGACCTGCCGACCACTGACCTAAATGCAGAGCTCAAGCGACATGACTTTACACGTGTTTGGTGAGTGCGACAAGCCACGGCCGTGTCAGTGGAGATGTGAAATTTCGACACCAAATTCCGTCGTCTCGCCGGAATTTCCGGACCGGGCAACAGAACCAGAACCTGAGCGGCAAGCCTTCCTTAGCGTTTATTTGAAGGTGTTCAAAGGCTAAAGAGGGACTAAAAGATCAACTTCTTACTGAAGAAATTACAGAGCTGAACAAATTGCATTATCATGAAAATGCAGCGATGGTACTACGGACTACGGAGAGCAATATGCTGATGTTATGGGGTTGCTATGTTTTCCCGTTGACAGGTGTTATGACAGTTTATTTGTGCCCGTGTAGGATTCTGCAGCTGGCGAGGGACTACAGTCGGCGGCGGGTGGCGTTCGGCCGGCGCCTCTGCGACTGGCCCCTGCACGTGCGCACTCTGGCACACATGGAGGTGGAAACGCGCGGCTGCCTGGCGCTCGTGCTGCATATTGTGAGGTAACTGCGCTGATGCTCGGGACAAAAAGGCTAGATAACACTGTTACCCGTGGAGGTACGATGAAAACAACGCATATTCAGTGCTTACCTGGTATCCAACCTTCCGGATCGGTGGCTCTTACAGCGTTTGAATTACCGACGCGCGGCCGCCGGACGCACTCCATACGCCATGCCCCTCCCCCTAGTAGGACCCTTGCCGTCCATGGTTAATGCACAGCTATGTATCGGTCGCTTATTGGCCTCAGTCTTAAATCTAGCCCTTTGAGAAATGCGCAGTCAGCAGCGCGCCGAATTCAGCCACTGATCAGATTAGCATAAGACCCAAGAAGTTCCGAGGCAATGTGCGTTTTATACTAACGATTCGCTTATACGTGCCCTGACTGTGCCATGCATGTTGATGTGCTAACTGGCACTGAACCCCTTTTTCACCTTCCGCTATGCAGTCTGCTGGGTCGCCAGGACGCCGGCGTCGCCGGAGACCGTGACACGCTGCTACTACGGCTGCTGACACCCATCTGCAAACTGTACACGGCCAAACGGGCCGTCTCCGTCACCTCTGAGGGCCTGGAGAGCTTCGGCGGCCAGGGCTACATCGAGGACACGGGCATCCCGCGCCTTCTGCGCGACGCCCAGGTGTACCCCGTCTGGGAGGGCACCACCAACGTGCTCTCGCTGGACGTGCTCCGCGCGCTGGCCAAGAGCCGCGGAGAGGCGTGGACCGCACTGACCAGTGATGTCACGGAGCGACTCCTGCCGGCCGCCGCCGCCATTGACTCCCTGAGGCCGATCACTGAAAAGGTGTGTGTGACGCGCTGCATGATGTGAGGTCTCGAGGTCCGAGAACTACCTTGAGTAGAGCACACGTCATTTGGCGTACCCTTACATGTAACGCGATGACGTTGCTGCTATGGAGACTTTTTAATTTTTTGAAACATATTGCTGAAAAGGCACAGGGCGGTAGCTTGTGAGCTTTACATGTTTTACCTGATCAATTTCTATTTTCTGTTTACTACGTCATTTCAGGTGAAGAACATCCTAAATGACGTGGGAAACATTTTGAAGAAACAAGATAGCAGTCTCGAGGTTTCAGCGAGAGATTTGTCGTTCACCATAGCCAACACGTACATTTGTAAGTACCTACCTTTTTAGTTCTTCCTGTGCAAACGCATATTCGTAAATAACTATTTCCATACACTTAGATACGAGTACATGCTTTCCTTAAAATTGATTCTTATTTCTTATAGATTCAATGTCTCAGATTTGAGCCTGGAGCAGTTCAGCTCTGACTAAGTTTGCTCTCCGCGCCGCTCAGGTGCGCTGCTGTGCCACCACGCCGCCGCGCCGGACGCTGATGACGAGGATAGGACGGTGGCGCTGCGGTGGGCGGACCGCGAGATGGCTCCCCTGCTGGCCCGTCGGCGGCCGGACCGGGCCGACGAGAGCCGAGACGAACTGCGGCTGGTCATGGCGGGGTACGAGACCGACGACTGAGCCAGGCTCGGAAGGTGCCACTCTTATACACAGTGGTTTGTTCTATCGGGGGAGGAAAGAAACCATCGGCTGTTTTTGGCGATGGTGAATCTTTTGAAGTTATACTATGTACTTGTTGGTTATGCAATATGCATCAATGCAATGGTCAGATGGCTTCATCTCTGGCCTGGGTCAGGTCAGGGTTGATGGGCCTGGGTCAGCTCATAATGATTGTGTAAGCCACTATTGAAATGTTATTTTCACAATAAAATGACGAGTAGGTATGTAAAACTGGTTAAGTTGTGGTGGAGTGCTGATAAACATATCGCATAACGTGGTTTTGGGTAGGCTGAAGACATTACGCGCTGTTACGGGACGGGTGCACTAATTCTCTACTTTATCATGCCTCTCATTTTGCACCAGATACGGAGATCTTATCTTCCCAGCACGGTTCACACCTCGCGTGAACGTAACATCCCATTGGTTGACCCCTAAATTGCAATAGTGCTCTTTCTCCGGAATCGCTTGTGTATACGCGAAAAATAAACGTGCTTGCAGGTCGAATAAATCAAGAGTAAAGAAAGGTGACCATCGGTCATGCGCCAAAATCATGTCGTTATTTCAGAAGGTCTCTAAAAGCACAATTAGGAACATTTAGCTGATATTACGAATATGTGATGCAGACTGATTGAAGCTAGAAGGACCGAAGAAGGAAATAAAAAGTATTCGACAGCTATGGAGGATTATAACGCAATCAACAGCTTCCCTCGGCCGAATCTGCCCGATGGATTCAGGACGCTCCTTTTCTCTCTGTCGAAAGAAGTACTGCGTGAACAGCCCATCAATTTGTACGAGTTTTGCGCAGACTTTTTTGGCCGACGTCTGTTGAACCGTGGCGATAGCTGGGTGTCATTCAAGGAACGCTATGACATCCGTAAGAAAGAGCGAGCGAGTGAGGAGGCTAAACAGAAAACCTTGCCGGACGCCGTCACAGAGAGCACCACAGACCTGCCGCCCGCCGAGGAGTTCACCCCCCAGCAGGAGGAGGCAGTCGTGAAGATCCAGGCGGGAGTGCGGGGCATGCTGGCCCGACGCAGTCTCACGCGGTCCGATGGAAACGCTCAGGCAGAACACGAACGCTGGCTCCATCCGCAGGAGCAGCTGGAGCGCGATCTTCAGACCATTTCGGAGAGCATCAGTTTCGCCCAGCTGGAATCGACTGACGGCGTCTGGGAAGAATGTCAACGGTGGCTGCACCCGGCCGATCAGCTGCAGCGCGACTATGAGAGAACCGTCTCGGAGCCAGTCGAGTGCGCGCACCGCCGGGACCGCGGCCCGTCGCTGGAGGACGCCACGGCTGCGGCCGCCGCCTCCGCCGCGCTGGAGGAGGCGCGGCGCGCGATGCCGCGAGAGCCGCCGCCGCAGAAGGATGAGGACAGCGCCCCGGAGCCGCCCGAGCGTGCCGGCTCGCCTCCGGAGGTGGCCTCTCTAGCTCACAGCGCCGTGAGCCTGGGTAACGCCGAGGTCGCCCACTCGCCGACTCCGGCGGCCCGGGCTCCCTCCATCGCCTCGGTCCGGTCAGCCCGGGCCAGTGAGGTGTCACTGGCGGACCGGGCCGAGCCGGCAGCTCACAGTGCCGGAGAGCGCGCCGCCTCACTGGAAGTCATCAGCACGGAGCGCGTCCCTCCGGCCACCCAGTCGCCGTCACCGCCGCCGCCGCCGCCGACGGACGTCCTGGACGGACAGACGACCAGCAGCCAGGTGGATCTGGCCACTGAGAACCCGGAGCCGGCGGAGGCCGAGCGGGCCGGCTCGCCACCCGAGGTGGGCTCGCCAAAACACAGCGACGTGCAGCTGGCCGAGGGTCGCCAGTCGCCGGGCGCCGCCGCCGGCCGCGCCGGCTCGCCGTCCGAGGCACTCACGCCGCAGCACAGTGACGTAGATGTGGCCGAGGCGGCGCCCCAGGACGGTCCCCAGGGCCCCGAGCGGGCCGGCTCGCCGCCAGAGGCCGGCGCCGACACGGCGGAGCAGTGAGTGATGAGTCCCGAGGGTGGCGTTCTATTACCGCACCGCCGCTTAGTCACTAAAATTAACCGATATTTGACACCAACAAACACTACACAAGTATTCGAGATATATCCGTCTTGTAGCCATTACAAATGCAGTATGTTTAGGTGCAATACAAGTCCTCTGTTCCTCCTATATCCTTATATCATTCAGTCTGCTCCTCCCTATGGGACATTTTCCGGTTCCCATGCCGCTGTTACGACAGCAAATATTAGGCACTGGCGTGGATGGATGCCAATTGTCACGACGGTCCATAGCGGCACCATGGAGCCGGAACGTGCCAACAGTGACATTAGCGGCACCGTGGGGCTGTAGCGGCGCCGGGCGTGGGGTCCATTGAGCAGAAAGGCGCGTTAGAAGCATTGTGCGTATGTGAGGGGAGGATGGATCTCGGTGCCAGAGCGCCACTCACGTCCATCAGGCGATAGACGGCACCAGTCATCCATTACATCATATGCATCGATCGCCTTCGTCCTCTGATGCGGCGTGACCTCGGCGAAAAATGACGTGCTCCGGATATGGCTTTCGCACTTCGAGTAACACAGCCCAACTCAGACTCGCTACTCAGATTTTTCCAATATGCCACGGCTACCGATATACGGCAAGTTCCTCTTTTCTCATAGGTCAATTAAATGCACACAAGAAATCATAGAAGTGATTGCTACTGGAAATTCAATACAATTGTTCGATGAATGAGCATCACAATCACAATGTATTGTTTCATTACATGGCATGAGCAACACTGGTGGTGTGGACACGATGGCATGAAGGACACAAGGCCGACACACGGGAGGCAGCGGATAGCCGCTCATTCAGGCATCCATAGTTTGAATGTCCGGTCATATGACGAGGTAGCCACGCAGTGGCCATCGGGCGATATTGCCACGCACATGATCTTGCCATCGTGTCCCTTCAGAGTGTGCAGGGGCTGCCACGTGTCTGCTGACCAGATCTGAAACACAAGACGTAACCAACATAAATCATCGCTCGTAATGCGCGACGAGTGTTGTCGTTGGCTAGCCACGAGCACCAAAAGCTCGTAACATCTAAAAAACGCAGTTACAACTTCGTTGGAATACAAGCAACTACTAATGCGACAAATTTAACACCTGAATTAATGAAGGATTTATTGAAGGACCTTGATCACTGATCAGCATAACTTGAAGCACCGACTGAAGACGGCCGGCAGCGCAGCGCGGCGCGTCCGGCTCACCTTGGCAGTGGCGTCGTACGAGGCGGTGGCCAGGAAGGCGCCGCGGTCGGGCCCGAACGCCACGCTCGACACCAGGTTTGTGTGCGCCGGCACAGTGTAGAAACACTCGCGTCGCCGGATGTCCCACACCTTGCACGTGTTGTCACTGCTGCCCGTGGCCACCAGGTAGCTGCCGGCGCGACCGGAGCGCCATCAGTCACACACACACACAACCCTAGATGAACCAGCGCCGCTTGAAATTGCTACTAAACGGTACCATATGAGCGAAATGTGTAGGACGAATACGCAGACCCAGTGACTTGGTGCCTTCCTGCATAACTAGCAAACATTCCACTGAAACACGGCATTTCCGATAAATAGCGGACGTGCCTTGTAAAAGAACCGTCAACGTAGCCCCGACAGCTAACTTTGCCTCCATTTACCTTCTCTTCCGATCAGAGAATATTTTAATTAGGCAAGTAGATGTATGTGGTAGGTATGAACATGCCATACGTAAAAGCCCCATGCAGGCCTACGGTTTGATTTGTGCGATACGCGTCAGATGGACGATATACACTCACCCGTTTGGACTGAAGGCGATGGACAGCACGCCTTTCAGATGTCCCTCCATGAACATGATACAGGAGCCGGTCCGCAAATCCCAGAGACGGGCGTACGCATCCAGGCCACTGTAAACAAGACGAGTCGTCCAGTCATCCAACAAATACGATACCGAGCATTAAATACACGTCAGATATTTTCACAAAATGATCTAGAAGAGCAAAAAAAGCCCGAATCGTAATAAACCAAGATTTTTGTGTGCGCAAATAAGCAGTAACGCCCAAACACAGTAAAAGAAAATATTTGATAAGTACAATTGGAGAGCGGATTGAGCTTAAAACTGGCAGTCATCCAGACAACCCAATAGGTATAATAAAGAGCAGGGCTGACGGTTCAACACCGTAACCCATACATGATCAGAGTGATATTGAGACACTACACCAATGTCCTAGAATTTGTCGATTTGGGTGGGAAACGACATCCAAATGAAATTCATTTTCCACCCTCAACACCAATTTTTAAGAACAATTTTCCACTCCCTACCAAGAAAACCTAGATTTTTTACCTATAGAAAGAGCAGTTGTGTGGGTGCCCGGTTTAGCATCAAACATTCTACAGTGCTACACCCTAGAATAAAATGCATGCTTTTTGTTGTTTATCACTCTTTTTGGATCTAATCGAATCAGCAGTTTTCCACTCTCTCCCCTCTTTTTGGTGGGTAATTTTCCCCTCTGACACCCAAGACAAAACTCAGTTTTGGGACACTGCACTACACCCTGTCTGAACTCCGAGGGGAGGACAGTCGACAATGACTAACCCGGTGGCGGCCAGGCTACCGTCGCTATGGAAGTCGACATCGTAGACGGGGCCGCTGTGGCCCTCCTGGTGCAGCACTTCGGTGAGCTGCTCCAGGTCCCAGAGACGCCACGAGTTGTCGTAGCAGCACGAGGCCAAAAAGCGCCCGGACGGGTGGTACTTCACTGAGGAGACCCGGTACGGCGCGTGGCCCTCGATGTCTGCCAACGGCTCCTCGCTGCGGCGATTAAGTACAAACGGTCAGCGGTAAATGACTTATCTCACCACTAAAAGCAGACAGGCCGCAGTGGCATGGAGAGGGATGTTCATCGCTTTTGGTACCCTGTCTGCATAAGATCACACCCTGTTGCATCCACGGGCCGTGGCAGTGCTCACCTGTCGAGGCTCCAGAGTTTGACGGTGCCGTCGTGGCCACACGAGGCCAGGTTCACGTCGGACGGCTGCAGGCTGACGGTGGCCGCCGGGTGCCAGCTCACGGCGCCCACGTTGCACGTGTGGCCGCGCAGGGTGCGCTGCGGCTGGCAGTCGGGCACCGACCACACCTTGCAGAGACCCGACCAGCTGGCCGTGGCCAGCTGACGGCCGTCCGGCGAGAAGGCACAGTGCGAGACGGGCCGTGTGTCGCCCACTTGGCTGGCGTGCAGGCCCAGCGCGCGCAGCTGCTTCTGCAGCTGCTGGCGCTCGGCGTTCCGTGTCGGCTCCGGCGTCTGCAGCCGCTCCCGGGCGGCCGCCAGGCGCGCCTTGGCGCGCGGCAGAGAGTAGCCTGCGAACAACGCCGGTAGGTACTAGTGAAACAGGGGGCAAACACGAGAACCAGTAGGTCCCAATCAAGCGTTCATATTATGCAGTTACATAGTTGACGCAATCTCCGTTCCTTCTTCAGCTGCATGCAATGCTCGTTCGCAATTTGTGGAGTATGGATCATCGTATGACATTCAGTAATAGCGATTGTAAGCTGTCGCAAAAAAAAAAAACATGTGGGCAAAATATGATCCAGACTAACCGGCGATCCAGAGTCGCGCCTGGCGCAGCTCGGCGGGCCCCTCGTGGTACCAGGTCTCTGTGCGCGGCTGCTCCTGGGGCGCCGACTCCGTCTCTGCCGACGGCGCCTCCGGGGCTCCCCCGTCCTCATCCCTGGAACCGGACACGGGCGGCTGACGAGACGGGCGCCAGGCCTGTTACACGCATCACGGTAACGACGTAACGACAACGACGGTAACGACGTAGCCAGTTCGCTTCGTTGGCACTGCATTCACTGATATTGGATGACGATTACGAGCGAGCACGAGGCGAATCATATGTATCATGTCGAGGTAAATAATATGAGCGCTTCGACATGCAATTACCGAACGCTCTCCGTTTCTGTCATTTTGTGCGCTGAATTTTGAAGTTCGTTAGAGCACTTGCATCCATCCACCAATGGACCAGCAGCAATAACTGACCTACCACTGATTTTTGTCACCCCGGTTATCCCAAATACCGGAGGCAGTGTCGCGGTCTCGTCGGACTCGGCTCCTACCTGGACAGAAGATCTCGCAGCCGGTTACGTCTGTCGGCCGGGCCCTCTCCGAACAGGCAGATGGGCTGGTCGCGCTGACGCAGGCGCCGTTTTACTTCGGCGTCGTCAGTGGACACGTGGATCTGCCGAGCCCGCTTCCGTCGCTCAAACTCGTCCAGCAGAGCCCGCTTGTCGTCATTGACCTCGCGCTTCTCTAGCTCCATGTAGTCTGAAAGCACAACATACACTGCGTTACGAATTCACAGCAATCAATTCAGTAGGTACATAGGACATAATCAATTGCTTTAAAAATAGTTTGATATAGCATACCACATATCATATAATTACTACCAACATAACCATTTTCATAGCATGATCAGCTGAATGATAATCTCTCATCTTCAAAGCAACTGGAGTACCTAATCCAAAAAGCAGAAGGCTGTCTTTTCGAGTACTCCGGAAAAGCACTTCCTAAAAAACCCTCAGTCGCGGCCTTGGCGAGCAGTGCCGTGTCCGACAGAACGTACCCGACGAAGAGACGATGTTGGCGGACGGTTTGGGCGAGCCGACGCCAGTGCCGGCCGCCAGTCGCGCCCGCTCCGTCTCCTCCAGGGAGCCATAATGGACCACCTTCTTGGTGCCGGCCGGCGGCACGACGATGACGTCATCGTCGTCGGACATCACCGTGTCCGACATGACTTAGGCACGTGCCTTTTGACGCGTTCTGCAGCAAAATCAGCACCATGAAACCAAGCATAAGTAGCTAACAGGCAGTCGATTTGTCTAGTATTGTTATAAAAGGGTATCAGATCAACATTTCAGTTCAGTTCAGTATATTTTGGTAACCAAGAACAAGAAACACCGGAGAAAATAATCGCGGATCGGCACAAAAGCAAAATGCCTGTGAACATGACCTACAACGACATGATATAATGACAAATATAAGGCAATCTTAAATGATAAACAGTACATGCTCAAATAATGGTCATTTTAACATTAAAAATACAAAAATGACTTACCCACTACAAAGAAAAAGGTCCTAACCAAGCCATTCCTTTGATGATGAATAAGGGTTTTTGGGCGCCCAGACTACAGTGGTCATCAGCGCCCATAAGCCTTTGCTTTGTCTGAAGTTGGACATACAGGATGTAAAATGGAAAGCTATAAACAAAATAAAACTTATCAACTGTTTATATTTCCAGTTGGCAATATAATCAATGGTTAGGTAGGTATGGATGTTTTAAGTTCAGAATGAGACAGGGACTGAGATGAGTAGGTATTACTAGTGTTATGCAGTCATTGATGTTTTTTTCCTCCAAATAGAAGCTTCATCTATCTGATAATCAAGGGCTGAGGAGTCTAAATTAAGATCTTCCTTAGTTCAAACTAAAATTCTGGGTAGGATAGCAGCATCACCTATAAGAAAGATTGATCCAGCTGATAGTGATACAGATCACAAGTCAAAGATCATCTATTTCATAAACAGTGCTGGCCTATTATGGAGGGAAAGCCATCAAAGCACCCTTCTAGCAAAATTTATGCTTGCCAAATTGAGATTTTAACTAACAACAAACCATATGAATTAACTCAAATACATTACCAGGTTTTTTCTTTGCACCAGTCAACAGTCAACATTACTCAAAAGCTGTCTGCATGGAAAAGTTAACTTGTCGGCAGACTGGTTTTTGATTCACCTTTTTTGGATCGATTCAATCATGGATTCATTTGATTTTTGTTTGATTCAATCACCGTTTGATTCCTTCAAAAAATTTGGTGAATGGATTCCTTTTGATTCAGAGAATCAAAAACAATATAAGGAATGATTCACGTTTGATTCAGCCAATTTTTTTTGAATGATTCTTTTTTGATTCAATTGAAAAATAAAATATACAAAAAAATCAGGGATAGTATTGTATTTGTTGTGTTCTTTTTGTTATCATGTAATGGCAGTAGTGTTAATATTTGTTGATAATGAACTATGTTCGTTCACTTCAATTTTTTTTAAGTTCATGAATCATTAATTTTTTTGATTCAATCAACCCTGATTCGGTGATTCCCAATGTGTTTGATTCAATCATGGCTTGTGAATCAAACAATCCTGACGGTGAATCAAACCTTTTTGATTCAACAAATTTTGTTTGATTCAATCCAATTGATTCAATCACAGATGAATCAAACACCAGTCTGCTTGTCAGTGGTAGAGTTTGGCATTTTTTTTTCTCATAAAAAATATTGTCAGGGCTGATGGTTGCTCATGCTTCACCAAATAAAGAGGGTATGTTCTTTTATTTCATGTTCATATTTTTTTTTAATCCAAGGAGTGAATCATGGCATCTCTAACCAAAGAAGACATTCCAATTCCAATAACAATGCAACCGCCACATGTGCAGGGAAGAAGGACATGTACTTTAGTCAAATATAAGCAACTTGTAATTGCGCCTCAATCTTCACTGAAATTTTAGACAAACATCACTTGGAAACCTACTTCAATTTCACTTACTTGCATTGCAACTTACTTGGAGCGTGCATGAGACGTGACTTTGACCTTTGCGGCGCAGAAGAATAAGAAAGTGCTAAGCTACATTTTTATTCATGCTCTAATGGAAATGAAACTGCTTTCAATAGAAAATTCCAGCCAAACCTAACAAACAGCTTGGTGTGACCCAATCTCGCTCGAGTTGAGCTCAATATGAATCCAACCAGATTGACTCAGACTGGTACAGAATGAGAAACATAAATTCTGAGGGGTATTCAAGGGCACCGCAAACTGCTGAGTGCAGTGTGTGCGGTGTGTGCAGCAGGCATGGGGGTAGGCGGTTCTGATATCAAGGCTGCATGCTGATGCGGTGGACAGTCCCCTGTGGCTGGTCCCAACCAACCACAGCGGTGAGCGGTCGCTGTGTGTGGTGTTATATAGCCTTGGTGCGGTGACAGAAGGCTGACATAGGGACGCAGTGGGCGGAGCTTACAGCCTGTGTACGGTCCAACTATGTTTTAGGGCCTTGGGTCCAACCAGGGTCCAACCGCACACAACCACAACGTGAACATGAACAGCCCTCAGAATTCACAACTTACACGCCGCTTTGGTTCGCTCCAACGTCTCAGACTCTCAGTCCAAGTCAGAATGGTGTCTCAGCCGTCTTAAATATAAATACAACAAACAAAATATTACCACATTTATGCATAAGTTATAACACACCTCCTCTCTCCCTCTCTCCCTCACACGCGGCGCAGCAGCAGCAGCATCGACCCACTCAATATACACTGCCACGGTGACTATAAATAGATACACTGCATCGACCAAGCATCGACTCCCAAGGTTGTGCTTATTCTAATGTTTACGTTTGTGAATCTGACATTATATATGGATCTAGGCAGTGTTTCACGGTAGAGCGCTGTGCGCTTCGGTGCGTTGGGTTTACGTTGTTCTCGGGGGTTACCATGGCAATATCAACGAACTCCACTCTTGTAATACTAGGAGTGGAGTTTGTTCACTCTGAACTCCACTCTGACGCTACGCTATGACGCCATCGTAAAACGCTAGCACCAGGCAGCGCCGTCAAAAGTTGCGCGAGCGGAGTCGACCTTAAAAAAAAGACTGTTGTTGGCACGCGTTTATTGTTTTGGCGCGGCAGCTGGTAGTTGGCGGTGTTTCGCGTGGTGTGGCATCACTGGCGGATCGGGGGGGGGGGGGGGGCACGGGAGCCTGAGGTGCCCCTGACAGGCCCGTGGTGCCCTTGCTAGGCCTGTGGTGCCCCTGGACCCTGGCAGGCCTGTGGTGCCCCTGGACCCTGGCAGGCCTGTGGTGCCTCTGGCGGGCCTAGGGTGCCCCTGCTAGGCTGCTGATGCCCCTGGGACCTGACAGGACTGTGGTGCCCCTGACAAACCTCAAGTGCCCCCAACAGGCCCGTGATGCCCCCGACAGGCCCAAGGTGCCCCTGCGTGATGCCGTGATGCCTGCGAGGCCGGTAGTGCCCCTGGCAGGCCTGTGGTGCCCCTGCTAGGCCGATGGTGCCCCTGGGCCCTGACAGGACTGTGGTGCCCCTGACAGGCCCAAGGTGCCCCTGCAAGGCCGGTGGTGCCCCTGTAAGGCCTGTGGTACCCCTGCTAGGCCTCTGGTGCCCCTGACTGGCCCATGGTGCCCCTGCAAGGCCGGCGGCGCCCCTGGCAGGTCTCTGGTGTCTCTGACAGACCTGGGGTGCCCCTGACAAGCCTGTGGGCCCCTCACAAGCCCGTGGTGCCCTTGCTAGGCCTGTGGTGCCCCTGGTGGGCTGGTGGTGCCCATGCTAGGCCGGTGGTGCCCCTGACAGGCCTGTGCTTCCCCCGGGCGTACCAAGGGGGGTCATGACCCATGTGGCCCCCCTTGGATCTGCCACTGATACATAATATCACCAGGGGCGCGGGAACTACTTTCTGACTGGGGGGCACACCATAATAGAGATCAACCTAGGGTACCCCCAAATCTAGTTTTCTCACCGGTTTTAGGCGACTTATTTTTCACCCCTCGGCTTTTTCAACAAAAAAAGAAAACATTTGCAAAAAAAGTGTGGTATTCCGTCTCAAAGCTGTGGGGGCACCGCCCCCACGGCCCCAGAGTTGGGGGGGCAGACTGCCCCCACTGCCCCCCCGGCTCCCGCGCCTATGAATATCACAGTGTATATAAATATACACTACGTCTGAGGTACATAATATATTGATTTGTAAAGGCGTTATGGCTTATGCAATATGCAATTGCAGGCACTTGGTATCCCTCACTTATCCCTCATTGGGGGCTCTGGCGGGCTTCTGAGGGCCCACATCTATCTCCGGGAGCCCTATAGACAGGCTCCTTTGGGTCCTTTCAGTCCACTATAGCATAAGAGGTCTCCATGCGAGTCCTATACATCCCAGCTAACAATTTGCCGTTGTTACAACGTCGTTTAAACGTTGTCGAATGGTTACCACAACGTCCCGATTTATCGTTGTGACAACGTAATTTTGTAGACTCCAGACAACGGCGTGACAACGTCATCCGACCATGCATTTGAATGTCATCACAACGTTTCTGTAACGTGGCCGTGACGTCCCAAAACTGTTCTTACAACGTCCCGCCAACGTTATAAAATGTTTTCTGTAACCTACCAACAGTGTTTCTGGAACGTTGTCACCACGTTCCGCAACGTGACTACAAGGAGTATAGCAGAGGAGTATAGAACGCTTTGGCAACGTCTCTGCGACGTTTTTATCACGTGCGCACCACGTTGTCGCTACTTCGTATTGCCGTCCCTGCGACCCTGAGTAAACGTCCTAAACATTTTCGCAACGCCCTCTCAACGTGTTCGCAACATACTCAGAATGTGTTTCCGACGCTCTCTTCCCGTTCTGTAGACTTGTAAAAAAGGCATGTAAGAAGTGTATATTTCAATACATCACACAGGTCAATTTACAAAAAAAAAACTACGGCGGCGGCATCGGTGATGGGGCATGGGGCCCAGGGGCGCCCCCATGGGGGCGTGGGACGGAATTGGGTTCTACCGGCTCTGGCGCTAGCCGCTAACACGCCAGAACTGGTGGAAGTTCACTTCTTCACTAACCCTCGCTGGGAGGATCACTCGGCAGACCGTTAGGCACCGGCTCATTTGCGGCCTCGATGTCCCTAGGCAGCTGGCAGTGCTTGACTAGACGGTCTGCGCACCCCCCGTTCCGGTCGCAGCTTCCGGACAGCCACTTCGCTACCGCATTGCCGACAGTAGGCCTGCCACAAGGCGCGCTGACGAGTTGCAGGACGTCTGCGGGAAGACATGAGGGAAAATCAGACATTCAATTCATGAAAAAATCACAAAAATACCTGCACCACTTTCCGTAACAGTGCGACAGGCTAGATCAAACATGTCAACACCTTAGAGGCTAGAGCTACAATGAACTATAGCCTAGACCAGTAGCGGCGGAACACCCTCATTTAAGGGGGGGGGGGGGGCACTGCCGACTTTTGGTCCCATTCTTTCCATGCAACGCCCATAGGGCTAATGTTAAAATGCCAAAATCAAAGGGGGGCACGGTGCCCCGGTGCCCTCCCCGTTCCGCCGCCTATGGCCTAGACCGCACGGTATTACAAGGCACAATCTTGCAAATGCTACTCGTAAATGGTACTTTGACTTACCAGTCAAAGCAACAATCGCATCAAACGCAGACAACTGGCGCTATCTTTCATCTTCCAGCTATCTCAGCCGCGCCCACCGCCGGCCCTCACTGCTCGCTCGCGCCGCGTAGACTGCGGCTCGGCCGGCTGGCTCTGAACGCCGGCCGGTGACACTGACGTCACGGCCCTTCAGGCGAGCCGCGAGGTCAGGGCGCGAGCCACCGTTCGCCTGAGTGGCGGCCCGCGTGGCTTGCTGGCAGCCGCGGATAACAGCCGCTTTTACATAGGGATAGTTGCAAGCCTCTAGCTCCGCTTGTGATGTTGCAAAACATGCCAATGACACGCTTTGCAATTTACACATGTTATATATTATACCGGGTGGCCCATAAAAAACGTTCCGAACTTTGGAGGCCTATATCTCAAATTTGAGTGCAAATAACGAGCCAAAATTCTCATAAAGTTTGCGTCATTTCTTTACGCATTGGTATGCCAAATTATAACACTCTATCATCATTTTCAAGCCAGCAATCTTATATTGAATTAAGTAAGACGTTTTTGCTTTTTTTGCCTATGTTGGACGGTAGTGATGATTGGCTCAGACGTACCATGTAAGGAAAAAAAATAGAAAAATGGAACACGTGAATGACACCAGCACGTGTGTTGTTGTTTTATATATTTTTGTCCCATTTATGTGCCGAATATTCAAATACTGAGCCAAAATGGTGTTCATGGATGCAATTCGTTTCAACACTAAGTCCTGTTTCGAGCAGAAGGAGTGGCACGGTGCATGGGTTACTGCTGATCGCCCTCCCTTCAAGAAGATCAAACAGTAAATCGACCAAATAAGGAAATAGAGGGAATGTGCCACCCTAAGGCCTGAACCATCAGTGAGGCTAGTTGCCAGTAACAGTCATGGCTGCAGGCCGTGGTACCGAGATGGAAGTGGCCCGTTAACTCACATTTTTTTAGTAAACATCTGAGCAAAAAAGTAATTTTTACATGGCATGCTAGAAACACAAACCATTTAAAAAGTAATTGCCCAAATAACATAAAAATAATACAATTTACTGAAAATAAACGCCGCATTGACTATTCGAAGTTTCAATGTTGTGTCTTTATCATTTTTTGAGAAATGTTGACTTAAAGTTGGGAACGTTTTTTCTGGGCCACCCGGTATATATATATATATATATATATATATATATATATATATATATATATATATATATATATATATATATATATATATATATATATATATATATATATATATATATATATATATATATATATATATATATATATATATATATATTAGAGAGAGATAAGAGAGAAAGGTATCAGAATTTACTTGTAAAAACACCGCTAATTATTCAGTACCTATAACGTCAAGGTTGTGAAAAACCGTTTTAACAACGTGTTGGCGACCACCAGCTGACAACGTGAACAGTCCAAGTGTTAAAATATGTCAAATTTAACGATGAAAACTGAATATGCGCATTGAAAGTCAAAGGAAATGCATTATATGGCCATATATGTCACCATGCATTATCAAAATATAATGCTGCAAGTGCGCGGTTGCTGCAACGTACCAATAAAACGTTGTCACGACGTTTTACCACGACTTTCGGACCAAACCATGGCTTCACAACGTTCAGAACGTTGCTACAACGTAATTAAAACGTAATTTCGCAACTTACCGA